TGTCCTTTACAAGAAGCTGAGTGGAGGGGGGTGCGCCTGTGGCTCAAAGGAGTGGGGCTGGCCTTGCCAAAAAAACGGCAAAAAAAAAAAAAAAATAGCTGTGTGCTCAGCTCTGAAAACTATTAGAATATTCAGCTTTGTGGCAAATAGAAGCCTCCTCCCCACCCAAATATCTTTGGGAGCTGTGACTTATAAATCAATGAAAAATGAGATTATCCTGGATTTTCTGGTTGGTCTCAATGTCATCACAAAGGGTCCTTAAATATGGAAGCAAAAGAGTCCGTGTCAGACTTAAAGATTCAACCACGCATTTGCTGGTTTTAAAAATGGGGAGGAAAGAGCCACAAGCCAAGCAGTTTTTTTTGCTGGAAAAGGTCAGAAAACTCATTGCCATGAAGCCTCCAGAACAGATTTTAGCCCTTCTGACACCTAAAGCCCAGTGAAACTAGGTGAACTTCTGACCAACAGATAATAAAATTGTGTTTTAAGCCACTAAGATTGTGGCAATCTATTAAAGTAACAATAGAAAACTAGTAATAGGTCTCATGCAGAGGTTTTCCTCATTTTTTACCATACTTCCAAAAGTTCTTGGATCTTTTATTGCTCCATCATTCCTAATAGTAGACTTCATCCTAGGTAGACTGTGGTTTTCATGACTGGCTTATTGAATCAGTAATGGGCCAAGGGAACTGCACACAAAAACAAAATCTACGTTACTGCCTGGGCCAGGAGATAGGATTCATAAGGTCTTTTGGTATAATATGTATGTGAAAGTCCAACTTCCGGTTAACGTAAGAGCAGTAAGAAAGAACTCTCTGGCCCAGGCTTGGGAACTATGCTATCCACCATGTAGAACCTCACAGTAGAAGTGACTTACAGAGCATAATTTGTGAATCTGTCAGTTGTTTTTCATTTAAATAGTATCACGTGGTAAAAGTAGTAATTTTAATGAAAATTTTTTGAAATAAAGATTTGAGAATATTTGAGCAAACCACAATGCTTCCTGAGTCTCTGTATGTCTGGTGAAGGGGAGGCAATGAGCAGCATTCTTCAGTGTCTGGTATTCTTTATGGAGGCTATTTTCTCAACAGAATTCCTAGGGGGCGGGAGTGGGGTGTTTGTCATCAAGTTGGCAAACCAAAGCAATAATAACTGGTCCTAAAATGGTGAATTTATTTTATAAAAATCACTTTAATTTTCTGAGGGTAGCCATGTGTTAACTGTAATCCTGTATTGCACAGAGTAAAGAAGAAATATAATCTATGTCCAGTGTGAATCTTCCAGAAGCCCAATAGATCGCAGTACTTTTATTGATCCACAACTTGGACCCTTTTCCATGGGTTGTCAATTACCAATCAACATTAACGCTCTTATGATTCAAAATGAAGTGTAGGCGGCCGCTCATCCAGCAGTAATACAAGAATCAGGTTTCACCAAACTGGTAATAGGATCACATGCTGTTTAGAGTTATGGCTGCAAAGCCAACCAGGCTAATATATTTAGATACATTCTGTCTCGTGGAGAAAGGGAGTCAGAAATAGTCATAAATATGTTCCTTCAGGACGTTATTCACTTATACAGTGTAAAGTATACTGAAGCCACAGTGGATCTCAGATTTGACATATTCTAGGTCCAATCAAGAGGGAAAGCTTTTGACAGGAAAAGGAGTTAAGTGATAAATCTGCCTTGTATAAATTCCTCAAAGAGGTATAGGCAGCACTGAATTCCAGACTTCAATTGCTTTCTAACTTAAGGGTACAAAATCTAGAATGTGTCTAGGACAATGGCACTTTAAAAGTGGACTGCTTTTCTAAGTCCTTTTTCTAAGCAATAAATAAAAACATCTCCCAGAAAAGAAGGATGTTACTACCCTCTTTTCTTTCTCACTAAAGGCCCTTTGGCTCCTTCCCTTGGTGCTTACTGAGAACCTGAAGGGCACTGTCCAAACAAACAGTAAGATTCTGCTTCTGGATGAAGATTTGATTTTAATGCTCTGACAATTCCCACTTCTGCATTGTCAGAAGAACCTGGGTAGAGGTCAAAGATTAAACCAATCTGTATATATGTAAAAATGAAAACAAAAAACCTAAATTCCAATGAGAGTTTAGGGCAGCAAAGGAGGTCTTTCTGGACTTGGCAACGAAAGTCCCTGAGCCTGAGGATGAGCCCAGGGGTCAGGTCCTTGTTTGCAGAGGCAGTCTGAGGGCCAGCTCGCTTAAATGATTCATGTCTGGTTGTTTGCTTCGTTTCTTGATGTATTCCAGTGTTTTCACCTACAAAGAAAAAGAAAGATACAGCTCCTTTCTGATTCACTATCCTTGGACCCAAATCAGCTATTAGATGAACGTTAATGCTTCTTAGCAGAGAATAGGGGGTCTTTTGAAGGATCAAGCAAGGGGAGAAATCAGTCTTTGAGATAAAACTACTTAGATTGTAACCTGACCTAAAATCAGATTTGGGTACAGTCAGGAATGATTTTTTTTACTTGTGGTTTTTATTCAGAGGGAGTAAACTGAATGCTATGCTTTTTAGCACTAGAAGTGACCCAGCAGAACTTTTGGGCCTGGTGCCTTTCTAAAATGGGAGGCTGGGGCTGTTTTATGCCAAGGTCCCGATGCTGTGTTGAGAATAGCTGTATGCTGTCGGGCAGGCTTATGTGGTGGGGCCCTCTGAATGCCTCACCATGGTCCTGGTGTCTGCACAGCCATGCCTCTGTGCCAGGTGCCACAGATTGACGGAGAGCTGGTTAAGTTTGTTGTTGCGCAGGTCCCCATGGGCCAAGATGCTGTTAAAGAAGGAAAGTCCCAACAAGCTCTGGCGCTTCAAGGCCTGAAATTGAAAAGGAAGGTTACTACCTTTCACTGTGGTTCAGGAAATGCTGTTGGCTCTGGGCAAGGTCATGCCTGCATTCCAGTGCCTGCTCTATCACATACTTGCTGTAAGGCAAGGTGCTTAACCTCCCAGCAGCCCAGTTTCTTCCTCTGTAAATGACAATAAGATTCCCACCACATAGGATAAGGGAGGAATTCAGTAAGCTGATGCAGCTCTCTGCCCCACAGATGGTCATTACTCATGAAATGGAAAAGACTCAACAGTTAGGAGGATTGGGGAATGAGGCTCAAACTGTCCAAAGTTGCAGTCACTCTTCCTTCCCCTTCAGTACTGATAATAAAGACCAAATGATGGCTCCCCACAAACTCAGCTCCCCAATACTTGGCTCCCATGTCACTTTAAGAAGAACCATTTCCTAAGCTAACACCAGATCTTTCCTCTTTTGCTCAATAATGTGATATGAGAGGTACCTTCCCACAAAATGTCCAACCATAATATTATTATTGACTAAATCTCAACCCCAGCTTTGAACAGCAGAGACAAAATGGAAAATCGATCTCCAAAATACACCAGGCCCAGGAAAAAAAAACAACACAACTTCCCAAAGGTAAATGAAGGCCCCCAGGAAGGTTACACCAACGGGTGGGCATTTGCTGTTTGGGGAAGCCCGTGGGGGCCAGGCCAGAGCAGATGCCCAGCCCTTGTGGGGTGGTCCTGGCTGCACTGCAGATTATCTATGCTTCCAGGAGCCTCCTACAACTGCTTTGCTCCCTAGCAGCTGATGGCCATGGAGTCCAAAGAGCATGCCAGATATTTTGCCCTATGCTTTATACAACTTGCCTCATTTAGTCTTCATGACAACTCTCTGTGGCAGGTATATCCCTAACCTCCCACGGTAGACAAAATTCTTGGCTGTCTCCCAAGATTCCATCCAGGTGCTGCTGTGAAGGAACTCTGTAGGCAGAATTATGGTAAAGTGATTACCCTGGATCATCAAGTGGGCCCAGTGGAAATCACTTGAGCCCTTAAATATAGGGAAATTTCCCTGGCCAGTCAGAGATGAGCAGTGGAAGAGAAAAGGAGAGGAAAGATGAGAAGAAGATCTGAAGCAGGAGAACACACCCATCACTGTTAATGTCTAAGATGGAAGAAAGGGGCCACGAACCGAGGAGTACACATTTCTTCCAGAAGCCAAGAAGGATGCCTGGCCAACAGCCAGCAAGGAAACAAGGCCTCAGTCCTATAATCACACAGGACTTCAGTCTGGCTGTACCCTTAGTACAGGGAAATGGATTCTTCCTGGGGCATCCAGTAAGAGCCCAGCTGGGAAACCTGGAACAGAGACAGAACAGAAATCTGCCCAGCCCAGCACTGGCTTCTGACCTGCCACAGATGTTTTAAGCTGTGAAGTTTGTGGCAATTGGTTATAGCAGCAACTGGAAACTAATACCCTCCCATTTTGCTGATGAGGGCCTTGAAGCTCAGAAAGGTTAAGGAACTTGCCCAAGGACCACAGCTGGTAAGTGAAGAAGGGGGACTGGAGATCCAGTTCTCCAACTTCTGACCCTGTGCTCAGACCCACATCCCTCCTGTGCCATGGACCCTTGGTGAAGGGAATCCACATTCTGAAGAGGGTAAGGAACTTCCCCGCTGCAGCTGGCCAGCCTTGAGGGAGTTAAGGTTGAGAATGGTTTGAATTGATTTAGACCAAAGCATATTTCATCCACTCTATATCTCACAAATATTTCATGTGGAGCTCACTGAGTGTCACATTCTGCTGACTACTGAGCCAACTGGTCACCCCCTCCCACTGTTCTTTCCTAAGTGGGTGGCTGTGTGGCAATTAAGAACCTTGCGCTCCCCTACCCCCCACTGAGCCTGCTTGGCAACAGCCTAGACTAGGTAACCATCACAAAAACAGCTGAGCCAACCTCCAAGAGCCTAATCATCATGAAGCAGGTGGTGTTACGGGTGCCTGAGTCCAAAGGAGCAGGGGGTGCTGGCACCTACTGGGCACAGACTCACTAACTGGCTCTGACCACCTGCTAAGTCTTCATTTGTTCTATCAGTTCTGCCTCAATGAGGAACCCAAGGCCATTCTGCTCCCTTTTTGACCTGGCCCTTGTCTGATGCCTGGGACAATAGAAGGACTCTACTTTCTTAGATCTAGACCAAGTTAAAAGAAAATTCTATTTCAACCAAAATTCTATTTCATTGAAGCAGTAGAGATTTTTTTAAAAAGTCAAACAAGGAACATAACATAAATCTAATTATTTCTCTGTTCCATATTTTATCAATAAGCATTTTACCTTAAAAAGCTCTACTCCAACATGTTTTAAATGCCATAGCATTAAAAGTGAAATAATTAGAGACATGTCTGAGGGATGAGAAAGCACGCCAGCAGATATCCAAACCCTGAAAACACCACGAACACAGAGGAGGCCAAATTAGGGACTTGGGCCCCCTCCTCTCACCAGAGGTTTTAAATAGAAAAGAGCTACTTTGCCTATGAGAATTGTCATTTCCAGGAAGCTCTAATGGTCTGGCATCATTCCCAGCTCCACCACACCCAAACAAACAACTTCACAAAATAAAGCTCGTGGTTAAAATGGCTGGCACATTCACGTGGACTTAAGGGGACAATTTTGGAAGCAGAATTGCTACCAGTGCTAAGAGATGCGATGGTAGGCACAGCATCAGCACCGGGGTTTCCCACAGCAGGAAGCTGCCCACTTTCCCACAGGGTGGGGAGAAATACGGTCTAGCCCTTTCTGGGTTGAGGGGCCCCGGGCACTAAGACCTGTGCTCTCGAGCAACCAGACCCTGGAGGACTCCAGTGGGGTCGCTTGTGCTGAACTTCACATTGTGCTGTTAAAATGAAGAATGCCGTGTTCAACTTCAACTCAATCCACCCACATTATTCTAATAAATGTGTACATATGGACAATTTCAGTGAAAGTCCCTGGTATTTATACAAGGTGAAATGTCTGGAAACATTCCAGCTTTTCTGTTCTTTTAGAGTTCTGATTTAGAGTCATTATCATCATCAACCCCTTTCCCCCAAAGAAAAAGAGACATAAACTTTAAATAAAAATAGCTTTAAATAAAGTGGTTCTGGGTCTTATTTTAATTGTGAGCATGGGGGTTCTAGGCCAGGGCCATTTATGTGGTCAGTATCCACCTCTAATTAAACTAGATTGTTGCTTTGGTGTGAAGAAACACATATGAGATGATTAAGATGCTAATTACCCTGATCTAATCACTGCTTGCGTATTCCATAAATATGTAAAAGGATTACATGTCAGGCCAGATGTGGTGGCTCACACCTATATTCCCAACACTCTGGGAGCCGAGGCAAGTGGATCCCTTGAGCTCATGAGTTTGAGACCAGCCTGAGCAAGAGTGAGATCCAGCCTGAGCAAGCCGAGCGTTGTGGCAGGTGCCTATAGTCCCACTACCTGGGAGGCTGAGGCAAGAGAATCGCTTGAGCCCAAGAGTTTGAGATTGCTGTGAGCTGCAATATAAGAGCACTCTACAGGGGGCAAGAAAGTAAGACTGTCTCAAAAACAAAAAATATTACATGTCAAATAAAGAAATAAAATTAAATTGAAAATAAGATAAAACAGACATCATTCCATGGTCCCAAATGATACCACTTTCTTCCCCCTGACCTGGCTTTAGTTTCTTGACAACTCTTATGATTACCTGACATCGTTTACTGCTGTCTCCTTCAGTGGAATGTTAGTTCATTAAAGAACTGTCTTGTTCTGTCTTGCTCACTCCTGTGTCCTGGGTATACAGTACGTATTCAACCAACTTTTGGTGAATAAACACTAAAAATTATTTTTTAAAAAAGAAGAAGGCTGGATGCTGTGTTTCATACCTATAATCCTAGCACTCTGGGAGGCCGAGGCAGGTGGATTGCCTGAGCTCAGGAGTTGGAGACCAGCCTGAGTTAGAGCCAGACTCTGTCTCTAAAAAATAGCTGGGTGTTGTGGTTAGTACCAGCTGCTCAGCAGGCTGAGGCAAGAGAATCATTTGAGCCCAAAAGTTTGAGGTTGCTGTGAGCTATGATGCCATGGCACTCTACTCAGTCTGACAAAGTAAGACTCTGTCTCAACAACAACAAAAAAAAAGAATCTCTGCTGCTGTGTCACAACCAGAGGAAACCACAGGGTCTATGCACATCTTTTGTGAGCCTCAATTTCCCTTCCCATTCAGTGAGAATAAACATAGCACCTACATGTCACAGGGGTATTGTGGGCTTTGAAAGTGCCAAGGTATAAGAAGCTATGCTGCCATTTATTCACCACACACTGGTAGAGCACCTGCTGTATGCGAGGCTGTGTGTGGAGAGGGGATGGGTCCCGGAGACCCTGTCTCAAATTGGTCGTTTGGATACAGAGTCTCTGCAAGACTCACAAGGTCCCTGCCCCCACAGAGCCCACATTCTAGCAGGGGACATAGGTGACCAACCAGCAGATGCATCCACAGAACATCTCAGACTGGGATCAAGTCCTACAGGGACAAGCCAGCGGAGCCATGCAGGAGGGAGGCCGCACTGGAGAAAGGGCCCAGGAAGAACCTTTGAGGAGTGCCTTTGAGGTGAGAATTGAATGATGAGAAGAAACAGCCAGGGGAAGCCCCAGGGAGGTGCATTCTAGGCAGAGAAAACAGCAGGACCAAAGCCCCTGAAGTGCTTGATAAACAGTTTGCACAAAAACACATTTCTCACATGATGTCATTTCCTTTCTAGAATGAAGCAATGTCAAGCCACCTTGGAAACTTGTGCTTTCAGAGCAAGTGGCAGGGCAGAGAGCGCTCACCTCATCCTTCGCCAGGGTTTTCAGGTGCTCCAAGATCTGAGCCATCACCGTCTCGCACAGCTTGTTGTTTTCTGCCAGGAACTTGGAATCTCCCCCATAGAGGCTGTCATTGGAATCAACTGATTGAACAAAGAAACAAGAGCAGTGAGATCAGCCATCCTGGCCAGGGAGAGGCAGGGTTTGGAAACTGGGATGAAAGCAGCCAAAAAGGATCCAGAAGAAAAGGGAGGATGGCGAGAAAGAACCAACACGGTAAGGCAGAGGAGGGGGTTTCGCCAGGCTTTGGAGCAGGCCCTAGCCCAAGAAGGAAAGAAAGTAAACAACTGAAGTGTCCACCATCACACTGTATGATACTATTCAGCCATTCCAAAACCCCAGCAGATCTATCGACAGTGATCTCCCCTTACCTGCAGTTTTACTTTCCCTGGTTTCAGTTACCCGTGGTCAACCATGGTCCAAAAATATTAAACAGAAAATCCCAGAAACAATTTGTAAGTTGCTTTGCTTTTCTCATTCTTTCTTTTCTTTTTTTTAGAGACAGGATCTTGCTCTGTCATCCAGACTGGAGTTGCAGTGGTGCAATCACAGCTCACTGTAACCGTGAACTCTTGGGCTCATGCCTCCCAAGTAGCTGGGACAAATGACAGTTGCATGCCACTCACCGAGCCCTGCTATTTATTTATTTATTTATTTTTAGAGATTGGGTTTTGCTATGTTTCTCAGACTGATCTCTGACTTCTGGCCTCAAGCAACCCTCCCAACTTGGCCTCCAAAAGTGTGTGAGATTAAAAGCATGAGCCATCCAGCCTTCCTAAGTTTTAAACTGCACACCGTTCTGAGTAGCATAAGAAAATCTCACTCTGTCCAGCCCAGAATGTTAATCATCCCCTGTTCAGCTTATCTGGGCTATGTATGCTGCCCATGCGTTATACTGTAGGAAAGAGCATAATGTATACAGGTTTCAGGCACTCATGGGGGGTCTTGGAACTTATCCCTCAGGGTAAGCAGTGACTACCGTATGCTGGTATGGAAATAACTCCAAGATTGATTATTACTTTTTTCCCCAAGATTGACAACTACATGCAAAAAGCAAAGTGCAGAGCGGCGCATCCTGCAGAATCTCTTTCCTCACCCAGATCACACTTTGCGTGAAGGTCAGTTGATGGAAGGGAAGGGAAGAAAGGAGGGAGCTGAGACTCATGCTGCCCTTGGCTGGACAAATTTTACCCGAGGCAGCAGTCGTCACAGGACAGGAACAAGCAGCAAGTGGAATGTAATTTGTTTTGCTTTTCTCACCCCATTTAAAGAATATTCATCACTGTCTCTAAGGAATAAGTAGGAAGGATTCTCTCACATATACATAATTCAAAAGACAGTATTCACGAGAAATGCAGGAGGGCTGTTAAGTTGTACAAGTGAGGAACAAATGGCAAACTGCACTCACTTGTTGACCGGGGAGGCTGACAGTGAGAGGACACCACAGTGGACAGTCCAGTGTTGTGTAAGTCACAAGCCATCTGTTACTGAACAGAAACACTCACCAGACCACTGGCTATGAGCTACAGAAACAAGGATCACATTTAACAGACACTTGCCATGAAAACTCAGAGAAGCCCAGGTCTTTATTTGCCCCATAATTTTATAACAAATATCAGCTTCACTAGAAATCAAAGAATGGAAAACTAAAACCATAGAACTTTTTTTAAAAAAATCACTTATACGGTGGCGCCTGTGGCTCAAAGAAGTAGGGCGCTGGCCCCATATGCCAGAGGTGGAGGGTTTAAACCCAGCCCCAGCAAAACAAAACTGCCAAAAAACCCCCAAAACATCACTTATACAACAAAGGTGAGAGAGAATGATAATAACCAATTTTGATATAGATCTAGGAAAATTATTGGCAGATGTTTAATAGTTTGAAATAGGTCTGAGAAGGTTTAAAAGTATCCAACGCCATTTACACCCACTAGAGTGTCTATTATTAAACAAAATAAAACATGGAAAACAAGTGTTGGCAAGAATATAAAGAAACTGGACCGCTCATACATTCAGTTGAGAATGTACAGTGGTACAGCTGCTATGGAAAACATTATGGCGGTTCTTCAAGAATTTAAACTTAAAATTATCATTGGATCTAGCAATTGTCATTCTAGGTGTATCCCAAATCAATTGAGAAGAGGGATTCAAACAGACACACGTATGCCGGTGTTCACAGCAGCACAGTTCACAATAGTTAAGAGGGATGACTTGGAACCCAAGGGTCCATCAACATATGAAAAAATGGGCAAAATGTGGAATATCAATCAATGGAACAGCCTTAAAATGAATGAAATTCTGACACATACCAAAACATGAATGAACTTTGAAGACATTATTCCTAGTGAAATATGCCAGACACAAAAAGACAAATACTGTATGACTTCATCTGAGGTTGCTAGAATAGGCCAATTCGTAGAGGCAAAAAGTACAATAGAGGTTGCCAGGGGCTGGAGAGAGGGGGTATGGAGGAGTTACTGCTTACTGAGTTTCTGTCAGAGATGACCAAAGTATCCTGGAAATGGGTAATTGTGATGGCAACACTGTGACTGTACTTGATGAACACAAATTGTGCACTTAATGGTAAATTTTATGTTACATATAATATATTTTACCACAATAAATTAAAAACAAGAAAAGTTTTAGGTCTTAGTACAAAAAAATTCATATGCTTTGACTTGGAAAAACCCTTCCAAGAGATTTATCCTAAGAAAATAATCCAGTTGAGGCAGAGTGGCTCACACCTGTAATCCTAGCACTCTGGGAGGCCAAGGTGGTGGATTACTTGAGCTTGGAAGTTGAAGATCAGCCTGAGCAAGAGTGAAATCCCATTTCTACCAAAAAAATAAACTAGCCAGGCCTGGAACTACTTGGGGGGCTGAGGCAAAAGGCTCCCTTGAGCCCAGGAGTTTGAGGTTGCTGTGAACTGTGATGATGCCAGGACACTCAACCCTAGGGCTATAGAGTGAGACTCTGTCTCAAAGAAAAAATAAATAAAATTAAAAAAATTCAAAAGGTGCACAAACATGCATGTCTGTGGTGTTCACTGTGTTGGTGTTGATAATGACGGTACAGCAGTAACATAACGACCATCAAGAGAGTTTTGGTTCCATGCTCTGTGGTATAAATATACACCATCTATAGTTATAATTATTGCTGCAGCATACTATTACTAAAAGTTAGTAATCATATGTAACTAATTTTTAAAAAAATGAAAAAACAAGATACCTAGTGAAGCCCCTATATTTAACACATAGACATATCTATCTTTACTTCTTAATTTCTAATTTAAAAAATCTATTTCATTATTTTACATATTTCTTATACTCTGCCTTGAATCTTTTGGGAAATGGGCATGTGTATGCATATAGCAATTAATAGATAAAATAATTTCAGAGATGACTTTTGTTCATTTCTAGTCCATATTCCAAGAACAATGACTTTTTTTTTTTGAGACATAGTATCACTTTGTCACCCTCAGTAGAGTGCCATGGTGTCACTGCTCGAATTCCTGAGCTCAGGCAATCCATCTGCCTCAGCCTCCCAAAGTGCTGAGATTATGGGCCTAAACCACCAGTGCCCGGCTGACAATAACTCTTATTTTTATTTTTATTTATTTTTTTGAGACAAGAGTCTCACTTTGTCACCCCTGTAGAATGCCGTGTTGTCATAGCTCACAGCAACCTCAGACCCCTGGGTTCAAGCAATTCTCTTGCCTCAGCCTCCCCAGTAGCTGGGATTACAAGCACCTGCCATAATGCTTGGCTATTTTTAGAGGCAGGGGTCTTACTCTAGCTCAGGTTGGTCTCTAACTTGTGAGCTCAGGAGATCCTCTGGCCTCGGCCTCCCAGAGTGCTGGGATAACAGGTGTGACCCACCTCACCCAGCCCTAACAAAAACTCTTTTTTTTTTTTTTTTTTGAGACAGAGCCTCAAGCTGTCCCCCTGGGCAGAGTGCCGTGGCATTACAGCTCACAGCAACCTCCAACTCCTGGGCTCAAGCGAGTCTCCTGCCTCCGCCTCCCAAGTAGCTGGGACCACAGGCGCCCGCCACAACGCCTGGCTATTTTTTGGTTGCAGCCGTCATTGTTGTTTGGCGGGTCCGGGCTGGGGATTCGAACCCGCCACCTTAGGTGTACGTGGCTGGCGCCTTAGCCGGTTGAGCTATAGGCGCCGAGCCCAAAAACTCTTGATTCTTCTTTTCCCCAGCTTACTCTGAAAAATGTCAAGGTTATGGAAAAGTAGAAAAAAACAGTACGATGAACACCTGCCTACTTCTCGCCTGGAATCACTCATCAATAACATTTTGCTACTTTAGCTCTCTCTATATCCAAGTACAGATATGCAATGGTTTTTTTTTTTTTTTTGATGAGCCATTTTTAGCAAGTTGCAGACATATTGCCTAAGAGTAAGGAGAACAGATGATTTCTGCTCTGTTCCCCAGCCACTCTGTCTGCAGGTAACCGCTAATCTAATCCTGAACAGCCCACTTATGAGGACTCTTCTGGGGATACTTTCCCAGGTTATTCCTTTGCAACTGTTTCTCTGACACCAGGTTGGGAGTAAACAGCCCTGGATCATAGGAGTCAACTTTAGAATATCTGAGATGGCCGTGGTTGCGATGTCATGATTGCTATCGCCTATGTTGAAGATGGCAGTTATTTTTGTTAGAAGTGAAAGAATTCAATTCAGCCCTTTACTACCACCTGATTTTGCAAGGAGGCAAACTGGTGGTGAAGGAATTTCTCACGTCTATTGCTGAGGACCAGAATAGTTCCTGGCATAAATTCCCAGTCTTCTTCCTGGCTGGAATTTACTTTCTGGTTTTTTTTTTTTTTTTTTTTTTTGAGACAGAGTCTCACTTTATTGCCTTGGGTAGAGTGCCATGATGTCACAGGTCACAGTAACCTCAAACTCTTGGGTTTAAGCGATTCTCTTGCCTCAGCCTCCCAAGTAGCTGGGACTACAGGTGCTCGCCACAATGCCCGGCTATTTTCTGTTGCAGTTTGACCAGGGATGAACAAACCTGCCACCCTCGGTATATGAGGCCAGTGCCTTAGAGTCATAGGCATTGCCCAACACCCATTTTTTTAGAGATGAGGTCTCACTCTGGCTCAGACTGGTCTCGAACTCCTGGCTCAGGCAATCCACCTGCCTCGGCCTCCCAGAGTGTTAGGATTACAGGCATGAGCCACTTCACCCAGCCTGGAGTTTACTTTCTGAACATTCCAGGGCTGGCGAAGAGGGAAGGGCAAACCTCTCAGAGGGGCCAGAGGTGTGTTAAGAGCAGACTGCTTGCTTCCTCACACATGATGGGTTGTGTGTGCGTAGACAGACATACACACACAACAGCACCCAGTGAATAAGGCCTGCTCAGGTTCTGGGCTAAGAACTAGGGCAAGGCTGAACTGGCCCTGTCCTTGTGGAGCTCACAGTCTATCAGGAGAGATAAGACAGGAAAACAGGCAATTGCCCCAGCATGTGCTGAGTACCAGGAAGGAACAATCCAATGGATCATGCTAAAATCTACGCTTGGGATGGAATTCTGCAATGAGATCTAGGCTGAGTCCTAAAGGTTAAATTCACTAAAGGGGGTCAGGAGAAGGTAAACGAGTTTTTCCTGCTGCCACTTGATAGTACAGAGGGAGAAAGAAAAGGGTAGATTTGAGAATTAGAGGCTGTTTGATCAGGCCAGAGTGCAGAGAGGGCCTGTGAGTCCAGACGGGGCTCTCGTGAGTAGGAGAGATGATGTTCCTGGCAAATGGCCACTAAAAATAGCCCATGATCTCGGCATCTGTCTGACCTGGGTCACAAACCCGAATGCTTCAAGGGCCTGGCAGGTGATGTAAAGAGTGAAGAGGGCTGTGCTTTGGCTTCACAGTAGCACCCAGGGTTGTCCAAAAATATACACACATTAAAAATGTACAAACATTAATATCTGCACATTAAATACATAAACCTTCTGGTGAGGCACCTATAATCCTAGCTCTCTGGGAGGCCAAAGCAGGAGGATCACCTGAGCTCAGGAGTTCAAGATCATCCTGAGCAAGAGTGAGACCCCATCTCTACTAAAAATAGAAAAATTAAGTTGGTGTGGTGGCCAGCACCTGTAGTCCCAGGTACTTGCGAGGCTGAGGCAGGAGGATAGCTTGAACCCAGGAATCTGAAGCTGCTGTGACCTTGGCTGAGGTCATTGCACTCTAGTCTGGACAACAGACTGAGAGTCTGCCTCAAAAATAAACAAACATTTGGTGACCACGAATATTCTTCCTTTCTACCTCAAACATGCGCTTCCTGCAGGGTCTTATGAAAGAACTGGAGTTACAGGTCCAGGTAATCGCAGAGCCTTCCCTTTTTATTAATCAGGAAGGAAAACAGCTAAGGGGTCTTTTGTAAGTGCAAAAATTATTTAACCCCTCTTTTCCAGAAGTTCTAAGCTGTGTCAGTATTGTCTAAAAGGTTCCCTTTCTGGGAAAATGGAGCCCCAACCCCTGCAGACCGCCCCCCACCCCCACCCTGCCAGTCTCCCCTACTGAGGCACTCGTCAGGTCACAATTGTGTATCCAAAGTAAACACAGCTGGGCTAAGAAGAAAAAGAAAATCCATCCTTCTGTTCTCATCTTTAAAAGCTAGAAAACTAGACTCCTGCCTATCAAATATAGCCTCGCTCCTGTTGCTGGCAATCTGGCTCTGCAGTCTGCCCTGGTGTTTTATTCAGAAACAGGATTAACTGAATCTACTCGAGGAAGAGGAGGATGGGGAAAGCCCAGGACATGCTCCTGTGACAGGCCCACTTCCATGCCCCTGTGTGGTCCTGAGAACTTTGTGTATTGTTCACGAGGTGCACTTCACAGAAGAGGAAATAAAAATGCCATCAATTATAGGAAGAAGTGCTCAAACTTGTTAGCTATCAGGGAAATGCAAATTATACTCATCAGAACGGCTTACATGAAGAACTGACTATACCAGCAGAACAAATGGAAGCTCCATTCCCGCAGAGTGAGAATGTCACTGGGCATAGCCACTTTGGAAACCGTGAGGTGCTATCTACCAAGGCAGAACACGAGCAAATCCTACCCACGCTCACGACAGATAGCCAACAGAGATGGACACCAAGAAATACACACGTGGAAGTTCACAGAGGCTCTCCACACTAGTAGCCCCAACATGGATCTGGACACTAAACGTCATGCAGACATCCATCCATCAAGGAATGAGCCCCTGTGGCATGTTCATAGAGCAGAACACTACACAGTAACGCAAAAGGATGAACTATAGCTATACACAACCAACGACGGGTGAGTCTCACACATCATACTCAGTGGAAGTGGCCACATACCAAAGAATGCTTGTGAAGTGATTCCATTTACATAAAATTCAAAAACCAGTAAGTGAACTGATGATACGAGAAGTCAGGAGAGTGGTGTGCCTTCAGAGAGGAGGTGGCAGTACTGACTGGAACGGGCATGGGGCGTTAGGGAACTGGCAGGGCTCTATTTCTTGATCTGGGCTGTGGTTACCTGGTTGCGTTCACTTTGTGATAATTCACTGAGTTTTACAATTCATTTTAAGTATGTTACATGCTATATTTTAATTAAAAGATCCCATCACTAATTAGTAGAACCCCTTGAGTAAATAATGTCTTTCTGGGTCTCCCTGGGGCATTATAATGCCTGTCCTCATAGCAGCAAAGCTGTAAGGACTGAAGGGGAAAAAGGCCTTCAGAGTCTGGAGAGCATGCAGCCAGTGCTCAGGTCGGGGGAGCCACCGTCCTCACATTAACCTGCCTCTCTAGTTGCGTCTGTACCCTCAGCCCCTAAATTCCAGCAAGAGAAAGCCTCACAGAGGTATGACAGGAAGCCATTCCTTAGTACTGCTATTTGTTACTGCAATTTCCAAGTGTAGAGACAGTTTTTATTTTTTATTATTTTTTTTGAGACAGAGTCTCACATTGTTGCCCTCAGTAGAGTGCTGTGGCATCACAGCTCATAGCAACCTCAAACTCTGGGGCTCAAGTGATCTTCTTGCCTCAGCTTCCTAAACAGCTGAGACTATAGGCATCCACCACAACACCTGGCTATTTTTAGAGACAGGGTCTCACTCTTGCTCAGGCTGGTCTCGAACTTGTGAGCTTAAGCAATCTGTCCACCTCAGCCTCCCAGAGTGCTAGGATTACAGCCATGAGCCACCACACCCAGCCTAGAGACAGTTTTTAAAACTGCAAGGTGTACCATTATTGGCAAAGGCACTTTATAACAACGGGGCAGTTTTTGGAAGCCAAAAATTGAAACTGAGGGTCTGTTGACCAGGATGACACTTAGGCGCAGTAGCAGAAGGCCTAGAACTGGGTGGTTCTGTGTTACACCCACATTGTGAGGAGGCTGCTCCCAAACTCATACTAGCAAGTTCAAAATGGCCAGTAGTAGGCAGGGGAACAAGGCCACTGCCTTCCTCTCAATCACCCAAACTAAGGGCTGGATAAACTGTGGCATCACTTAAAGAGCAGGTCACAAACACCCCTGCTGGAAGCCCCCCACTACACTAAGCATCAGCCCTGGCATGAAGCACATGTGGGCACGTTTAGCCATTGTCCTGGGTCATTGTGTAGACGATCAAAAAGAGTGCTTCTGTAAAGTGGTCTGATGGTCAAAATAATCTAGGTGCTTGTTAAAGATACAGATTCTCAGGCCATTTCCTGGGAATTCTAACTTAGAAGGGGCAAGATGGGGCTCAGAAATCTGTACTCTTAAGAGTGGCCCTGGGTACGTAGTAGATTAGGGAAACCCTGGATCAGAAGTTTAAGGTAGTCAAAACACAAGGAGAAAATAAATGAAAGAGAAAATGACAACATTTCATTCCCTTTCCCTTTCATGGACTCAAATGCAGCGAGGTGTGGCAGGAGGGGACGCTGCTACCTTTGTCTATGTGGTAGAGATAGGTCTCCTGGCTCATGGCAGCGAGGAGGTGCAGGACGCAGGTGTAGATGCGGATCTTATCGTCGCTGCTGTCCTCCCAGGTATAGTCTTGGATCACATTAAGAAGCTCTCGAACCAGAAACAGGACCCCGTGTTCAGGATGATCCTAGTGGAGAAATAAGAAAGGATAAATAATCCTAGAGATGAAGTAAACAGGAAAAAAAAAATCAGCATAGAAATTCAAGTCCTCCTTTCAGCAGCTGAAGAGAAATTAAAGTGCTACTTAACAAAGGCAAGGTCCATTCCTAAGCCTGGTTAAACTGTACAGAGGAAACCGACAAAACGTGATTCCCTCTAATTGGCACGCTCCCATCTGGGCAAACACGTTTTGAGAGCCTCCCTTCTCGGGTCCAAGGAAGTAGAAAGCAAAGTTACCTGTCAGTTTAATGGCCTGCTTCTAAAATTACACTCTTGTTTTTCTGTGGGTAGCAGTAAAAAAAGTCAGTCCTGTTCCAATTACAAAAGCAAGATTGTAGGTCTCGTGGCAGATGGAACAGAAGCCACCCACGCTAGATAAGCCCTCAAATGATCACTGCCACTGTTCCAGGCACCAACTTTAAATAGAGCCTCACTCCTTAGGACGTTCAACCACAGCAACAGCCAAATGGAGGATGCTCTCAGGAGAGGAAAAACCCAAGAGACAGTCACAGAGTTTACAGCAAACACTGTTTCTCAGACGCTAAAAAGAATCCTAAAAAAAAGTGTTAGGAGGATGTCAAAAAGTGAGTGGTTTCAATTCAGTTCCAAAAAGACATGTGTGATTATAAGGCTCTCCCCTGCTTAAAATGCACCAAAGGCTTCCCATCCCACGCAGAAGATGTGCTCAGGCAGGCCCCTCCATGCTCACTGCCTTGTCTCATGCACGTCCCCCTCACTCACTCCACTCACACCTTCACCACATGCCCCTGAAGTGTGGGGAAAGGCATTCCTGGGACCTGCAAGCCCTGCCGCTGGGGGAGGCCATCTGGCACAAAAACAAAGCCATTGCTAAACCATGGCCCAGCCAGCACGGGGGCAGGAAGAGAAACTCCCCCCTGGGATGCTGCTGGTGCCTCTACCTTCTGGGATGCTGCTGGTGCCTTCTATTGGCTTAAAAAAAAAATGGGAGCCAGAGGATGGCAAGGCAGGTGACACAGTCCCCAAAAGCCAGACTCCCTGGCACAGGGCAGGGAGGGGGTGATGTGTGTGCTGGCACAGGCCTGCTGTCTCTGACTGCAGTCCTGGCGCCCAGGGCTTGGCCAGACCGGCCCCCAGGCATCCATCAGCTCTCATATTACATGAAGGCTCCTCCACAAACCTTCCATGATGGTCCATCTAGAGTCCCCTCACGTGCTTTTCTTCACAAATCAGCCTTTCTTGTTATCTTGAGAGCACTTCTCACCATTCCAAACGATCTTACTCCTTCCGTGCAAGCCCCACAATATTGCCTGGTTTACCTAGCCTGTAATCTGCGGGATTTGTTGTGTTTCCCGACACACTGCCAGTCTGCTGGCCCGCATACTGTATTATCAATGGCGCCTCCAGGAGCACAGTGTGAATGGTGCCCTGGCTCCCGGGATGGTGCTGGGCACATGGCCGGCACTAGATAAATAATGCTGAAAGACTACATTTTTTTCCAATACCTTCTATGTCCTAGGCACTGGGGTGGGAACAAAAACAAATGATAATAGCCAATGTGTAGCTGCTACCATAGCTTTTCTATGTTCCAGGAAGATGCCCCCATTTCACAGATAGAAAATGAGCCACAGAGAGGCTAAGTAGCCCAAGGCCACAACGCTGGTATCTAGGAGACCCAAGATTCATGTCCTTGCAGTCTGGCTCCAGAAGAGACATTCTTAACTGTTGATGCTATATTTACACTGCCTCTCTGTAGGTTAACTAGGAGAAGGCATACATGAAGCCAACTATTTTGAAGACAAGCATGGAATATGCAAAGCATTATTGCCAAGGAGGGTGGGAATCAAAAGCGGCCTAGTCCAATGTGAACGTGCGTCTATGGCGCACACAGTAAGACTTTCAGTGGGGGAGAGCCCTCATGGTGGAAGGGCGTGAGATGTTTTACAGAAGCTGGTCGCATCTGCAGCGATTGCTTTCATGGTATGCACAAGAAAGGAGACACATGGTGCTCAAAGGTCTGAGTGCTGCGAACTCCATGCATCAAAGCTGTGCAGGCTGAGGTCCGCCTTCCATTTGGGCTCAGCTGGCAACTGACTACTTGTGGCCTTCCGTTGCTAACAGCTGTTTCTAACTAGGCTATTTTATTCTGCTATGTGGATGTTCAAAAATATATTTTATTTAAGGATCTGCCTTGGAAAGAGACAAGAATGTGAATGTTCCAGTAACTTAATTTCAACACAAATGCCGTAACTCTTGTGGGAGAGCATGCAACACATTTTCCAAAATGTAGAACAACTAAAGGTTTGTAGTGAGGCATCGATGTGAGCTCTTGCTCACAATTGAAGAGGTAAGAGACTGTTGCCAACCTCTGTACAGGGAAAATATTTTCCTCGTGACATCTATGTTTCAGTGGTTATTAACAATTTTCCAAAAAATTATATTTTGATGGTTCAATGCCAACAACTGAAGCAACACGGACAGAGTTTTTTTTTTTTTTTAAAGAAGAAAACATTACAGGATTCAGATGGCAATTCCAGTGGGAAAAGGTATTCCCACGTGTCCCTGGCAGGGCTACCTCTCCCAGGCAGAGCAAAAAAATGCTGATAAGGCAGCTCCCAAGGGGTGCTTGGCAGGGCTCCAATTCCCGCCCACCTAGCCTACAGGGGGCCTGACTCCCCCCATTAGCAATATCCCTCTGGATCTTTGGTCTGCAGAATTCTTCTGTTAAACCCCACTCCTGCCTGTAGTTCCAGCTACTTGGGAGGCTGAGGCAGGAGAATCTCCTAAGCCCAGGAGTTAGAGGTTGCTGTGAGCTGTGAGTCCATAGCGCTCTACCAAGGGCAATAAAGTGAGACTCTGTCTCTAAAAAAAAAAAACAAAAAAACCCCCACTCCCTTGGGAGAAGTAATATACCATAGAAGTACCTTCCTAGCATAGCCAAGATGACGGGCAGTGAAGTGGTGGCTGAGCTTAGACATTGTGGCTGGGACTCTGACTTGTCACTTACTAGCTGGTAACCCTCAGCTTTCTGTGTCTCGCTGTACCTCTCTGTGCCTCACTTCACTTCTATGAAATGAGAATGACAATAACAGGTTTCTTTTGAGGATTTATTTGTGAACTGTTGGCTGGCTCATCAGTATGAGCTGTAGGATTGTTGATTAAACAAATAATAAAGCCCTTTAGAAAAGGAGCCAGGCTGGGTGTGATGGCACATGCTGTAGTCACAGCTACTCTAGAAGCTGAGGCAGGAGGATCAACTGCTAGAGTCCAGGAGTTCAAGGTTGCAGTGGGCTATGATCATGCCATTGCACTCCAGCCTGGGCGACAGAGTGAGACCCTGTCTTAATAAAATAAATACAATAAAGTACATTTATAAAAAAAGAAAAGGCACCAGACAGAACACAGGTGGGCTGGGAAGGAGAGCAGGACAGGAAAAAAAGGAGGGTACAGGAAGGCAGAGCTGGAGCAGGGGAGACAGGGACCAGCATGCTGCTTGTCTTGCCGCTGTCTGTCTCACCAGCTTCCCAGGCATCCCTCCTGCTCTCCCCAGGTGCCAGTCACTGTGGCCTTCTGCTGGCCCGCCCAGTTCACTGGGCTCCTTCCTACCTCGAGACCCTCACCCAGCATACTGTCTGCTCTTCCCCCTGCACCTAGTTAACTACTTACTAGTGCTCCCTCCAATCTCAGCTCAAATGGCACTTTCTCAGGGAACTCCCCTGACTTCTCAGATTGGGAGCTCTCAGAGGCACCTGTAGTTCTTCCCGACACTTTATACAATCGCAGTTTTTATTTAGCATTAAGTCTGTCCTCCTGAATAGAAGGATGTGTTTCTCCTGCTCACTTCTCAATTCCCAGATCAATAAATATTTATGGGATAGAATGAATGAATGAAACTTACACATCAACATCTTGCTATGCTTATGGCTGGGCCTTTTCATCAGGATAAGGATTCATCCTGCTGTATCCTAGATGATGAGTGCCAAAAAATAGATACCAATAGCTTTTCCATTTCCTTCAAATCGCAACTGAACCAAACGCACGTTCACGATGGATTTGGCCTTAGGAAATGCAGCACTGAACTTGTTCAGTCACTTCTACTTTAGTTGTCTTACCTCATATTGTTATATGAAATGCATCAGTTCAATTACATTATATAGAGAAGACTATTTATTCTGCAAAGTGGTCTCCCAAGAGGATAACAACTACTGACACCAAAACAAAAGGCTTCAAAATGCTCCAAGAGTTCACTGCCTACAGAGGAGAGGGCCACACTGGGGAATGCTGACTTCTGCATTTTCAAGTATGAATGAAGCAGGCTGGCTTGGCACTGTACTTCAGTGGTTAGGGTGCCCACCACATATACCAGGGCTGGTGGGTTTGAACCTTGCCCAGGCCTGCTAAACAACAACGACAACCATAACAAAAAAATAGCCCAGTGTTGTGGCAGGTGCCTGTAGTTGCAGCTATTTGGGAGGCTGAAGCAAGAGAATCGCTTAAGCCCTAGAAAGTTTGAGGTTGCTGTAAGCTGAGATGCCCTGGCACTCTACTGAGGGTGACATAATGAGACTCTGTTTCAAAAAAAATCAAAGCTTTCCAAACTCATCCTTTAGGAAATCTTTGCAGGCTGGGCACAGTGGCTCGTACCTGTAATCCCAACACTCTGGGAAGCTGAGGCCAGAGGATTGCTTGAACTCAGGAGTTTGAGACCAGCATGAGCAACAGTGAGACCCTGTCTCTATAAAAAACTGAAGGGAAGGAAAAAAAACCTCAAAACCACAAAACTTTGCACGTGGTTGGTGGGAAAGCAAAATGATGCAGGCACTATGAAAAACAGTATGGAGGTTCCTCAAAAAACTAAAAATAGGGCTAGGCATGGTGGCCCACACCTATAATACTAGCACTCTAGGAGGCCAAGGCAGGAAGATCGCTTAACCTCAGGAGTTCGAGACCAGCCTGAGCAAGAGCAAGACCCCCATGTCTAAAAAATAGCTGGGCATTGTGGTGGGCACCTGTAGTCTTAGCTACTCTGGAAAATTGAGGTGGGAGGATCACTTGAGCCCAGGAGTTTGAGGTTTCTGTGAGCTAGGCTGAAGCCAAGGCACTCTAGCCTGGGCAACACAGTGAGACTGCCACAAAAGAAAGGAAAAAAAAACCCACTAAAAAGAGAACTACTATATGATCCAACAATCCCACTCCTGGATATATTTATACTCCCACAGTATATCCTGTTTCTAACTAGGCTATGTTACCTCTAAGATATATCTTCGCTCTCATCTTCATGGCAGCATTATTCACATTATTATTCAGGCAAGATGTGGGAACAATGTGTATGTCCGTTAACAGATGAATCCATAAACAAACAAACGTGTTACGTACAGGCAGTCCCCAGGCTATGAACAACATAGGTTCTGTAGGTTTGTTTTTCAGTTGAATATATGTAAGTTGGAACAGGTACATTTAGCTATTACCTATAATAGTCTCCATTCATAAGTGTGAGTCATATGGCAGCTGGATGTTTGTAACTCAGGGTCTTACTGGAATAGCTGCTGTTTGTAAGTACGAGCTGTATGTAAGTTGGACGTTTGTAACTTAGGGACTGCCTACACATAAAATGGGATATTAGCCTTTAAAAAGCCAGTCATCAAAAGACAATTACCACATGAGTTCATTAAAATTGAAGTACAATGGTGGTTGCAGGGGCTGGGGAAAGGGGAAAATAGAGAATGACTAATCAATGGGTATAAAGTTCCAATTAAGCAGGATGAACAAGCTCTAAAGATCTGCCGCATAACGCCATCCCTATAGTCAATAATTCTGTACTGTACACTTAAAAACTGGTTAAAGGGGCTGGCACCTATAGCTCAGTGGGTAGGGCACTGGCCACATACACAGAGGCTGGCAGGTTCAAACCCAGCCCAGGCCAGCTAAAACAACAGTGACAACTCCAACAACAAAAAGAAATAGGTGGGCGTTGTGGTGGGTGCCTGTAGTCCCAGCTACTTGGGAGGCTGAAGCAAGAGAATTGCCTAAGCCCAAGAGTCTGAGGTTGCTATGAGCTGTGATGCCACAGCACTCTACCCAGGACAGCTTGAGAATCTGTCTTTATTAAAAAAAAAAAAAAAAACTAGTTAAAGGGGTAGATCGCTTATCAGTATTACCCCAATAAAAAAATTACAAAAATAAAAGCTGTGACTTATAAGGAAACAAATAATTTGAACTAGGTAAAAGTCTTCTTCACATTAGATGGAGTCAGAGCAGGAGTGGCTCAAGTGAGCTCATCCCACCACCTGCGTGTCCACTAGGCTTTCAGTGCTGGCTACTTAGGCTAAACACCTTATGGTACTTGGTTGTTACTGACACTGCATCTCACAAGGAGGGTATAGGGTTGTTAATGCTCAATGACCTTGAATAAATACGGCACACTGCAACGTTTCAGGCTCAGTCTGTGCAGGGCAGGCTCTAAAGCAGGAGTTCTCAACCTGTGGGTCATGACCCATAGGAACTGTATTAAAGGGCTGTGGCATTAGGAAGGTTGAGAACCACTGCTCTAGAGCACCACAGCCCCGGGTTTGATCCCCAGCCCCACTGTTTACCACCTATGCGCCTCAAGCATGCTGCATTGGCTCTCCTGCTCTAGGTTTCCCTAATTGCAAAAGGTGCCATGATTCCTACCTTGTAGGGCTTGCAGGAACATTCCCAGAGACTACTGGGGAAGGGCTTTAGCACAACACAAGGCACCTGATGAGGTGGCAGGCACCGCAGCTATTCTTTGTCTCATTGTCATTACTGTCCCCAGCAAAAGCATAGGCGCTACCAGGAACAGTAACTAACATCTATTGAGAGTGAGGCTAGTCTCACAAATGCCTAAGGGGCCAAGAAGGCAACAGAAATGGGTTTAATGGGTCTCTATGGGCCCAGGGGAACTGGAAGGAGGCACATGTCAGCTGCAGCCAAACGACCAGGTTACAGAATCCCAGTCCCGTGGGACACAAGTTGTAATTTGTCAAAAGAAGCTGCAAATCTGGGTTTTTCTGGGATGTACCAATTTTTAAATATGTGAAAGTCATTGCAAATATTCTCCATCATTACATGGCCAAAAAGCATGCCTGCCAGCTAGACTCTGTCCTCTGGCCACCAGTTTGTCACCCCAGGGACAGAGCCTCTGGTTTACAAAGCACCTGCATAGCTACCATTTCATCCAATCCTCACAGTACTCCCTCAAGCTGGGCACTCTGATGACATCTGAGAAAGGTGACAACTGAGGCTCTAAGAAGTTACAAAACATTTTCAAGATTCCAGAGCAATGAAGTCTTTGGGCCAGGACTGAACGCAAGTGTCTGATTCTGAGGAAGTTTTTCAGAAAGGCTCCAGTGATTTTTAACATGCAGGCAGTAAACACATCCCAAATTAATAGTGATCAATGGCTTCTATCAACCACATCATTCAATATCCTGATTTTATCCGTTCACTGTAACTACCAGAGGTTGGACAATTAAGTTCATGAGCTTATCCTAGAAAAAGCGCTACATATTCCAGTGCTGAGTATCACTCTGGTCACCTTGAAAGCACTCTACTTGGCCACCTGGTGACTGTATTGATATTCAGAGATGAGGCATGTAGCACTTCTATTAGGATGAATTTGAGACCTTAATTGTCAGACCTCAGTAGACTATCTAAAGAGGAGGGAAACTGAACATAAAGTACCAATATGTGGGGATCCCAAAGTGCTAAAATCAAGTGTCAAGTGAAGGAGCACTTGAAGATGTCTCTGCGGCTTTGCCCGGCTGACTGCACCGCCCCATTCTGGGGTGCCGCCCACCCTGCTCACAAGACAAGGAGAGGCCCTGCCCTGCTGACATATCTGCAGCCTAAGCCCAGCCTCCTAACCACCCACTCTCTCGAAACTTGAAATCTGAAAAGGGAGAGTTGGAAGCTGACTCGCTTTTTGTTTTTGTGGCTTTACTGAGCCATAATTCACACATCAAACAACACACCCGTTTAAAATGCACAATTCAGTGATTGTTAGCATATTACAGAGTTCTACAATCATCACATCTCTACAATGAATTTTGGAACATTTCTCATCACCCCAAAAAGGAACCCTGCATCTGTGGGAGCTGAGTCACTTTTTGGCCCAAGTTCACAGCAATGTTCCCCAAAGCGTGCTTCTTAGGACCAACCTACATCTGAGTCACTGAGGGAGCTCTAAAAATACCAACTCATGGGCCTATTCCGACCTACTGAGTGAGACTCTTTGGGAGGGACCCCAGGAATCTGTATTTTAACAAGTGCCCAAGGATTCCTATGCACATTTCGCTCTAGGAGGGGGTCTTTACCTGTTCTGTGCCTTGGACGTGTGACACCCAGGTGAAGCCTATGGATTCCTTGGAATACTATTTTTAATGCAGAAAATAAAACATATAAGGCTGCAAAGAAACCAACTACACTAACATTTAGTTGTTGGACTATTTTTTCAATCCATTTATGATATTATAATCTATTGCTTACTTGCGAATCAGTGTATTAACAGACCTACCAATGGGCCAAGTAACCACTGTGCTTTTTAAGGAAGGAAGAGCATGAACAATCTTCCAAAGTATCTTTCACATCTGGAATGTGACACGAACATTTTTGTTGATTTCTTTTAGTGACCAAGTCCCAGCTAGTGCGACTACTGCTGTGGCTTGATGCCTCCAATTTGTAACTGAATGAAAAGCAAATTCTACTCAGAGGCTGATGAAAATAAAGATGTCATTTTTTTTTTTCTTTCCGCACTCAAATCTATGTGGTCCTTCTGCCAAGACTCCCAGGCAGTAGGTGGATCCTGAGTTAAGAACCTTGCTAGGGAGAGTGTCTAGGAATTCCTCCTGTTGGGTGGAACAGCCTTAATTTCTTCTAGCACAAGCCTGAAGTGCCCATCATTCCCATTCCTCTAGAAACCCAGCATCTACCCAACAATGTTCCTTTTGACCTCCACTATCTTGTTTTGGTTTCTCTTACTGGCCATCAAAAGAATTTTGCCATGATGTAACCTTTCCTAGTACTTACCACATGCCAAGGCACTGTTCTGACCACGTGAACAGCAGTCACTAACCTAATCCTCACAGCATCAAAAAGGGAGATGCTAAAACATTATCTCCATTTTATAGATGAAGAAACCGCAGCCCAGTAATAAATATCGCATAGTTGCCTGAGACTGCAGAGCTGGAAGAAAGGGTTGGAATTCCACCCCGGGCACTTTGGTCTGGAGGACTGTGCCCTTAACCACTAGGCAACACCTCTGCCTTAGCTGTACAGAGTGTGCAATGGACTGAAAGTTTCTCTTCCCTGAAATTCATATAATGAAAGCCTAATCCCATTGTGATATTTGGAGGTGGGGCCTTTGAGAGGTCCCGGAGGACCAACTGTCCAGAAGGCCAGAGAGCTTGCCCTTGCCCTCTCTTTCTGCTACGTGAGGACAGAACAAGAACACGGTTGTCTGCAACCTGAAGGAGGGTCCTTCCCAAACCCTGAGCAAGCTGGCTTCCTGATCTCAGATTCCAGCCTACAGAACTATGAGAAATAAAAAAAATGTGTGTTGTTTAAGCCACCTGGTCTACCATATTTTGTTATAGCAGCCCAGACTAACACAAAGCACAATTAACATGCCCCGGATGTGGCAAGAATGGAAAATTCATTGAGCAATTCAAACATCTAATCATAAAACCAGCACAAAAATATTAGATAGACTGTCCCTGTACTTACAGGGCTAAGAATACATATTATACACACCATAAGGTAGATCAAAGAATGACTTCTCCTATGCCTCCTCCAGGAAAACGTACCGGAACTATTAATAAAGTAGAAAAGAAATTGCAGAGGAATTCCATAAGGAATGATTCTGATGGCCGCATCTTTCCATCGATATTAATCGTCTTTGGAACTTCTGGAACAAGGCTTATCGCGGCTTTGAAAAAAGCATCAGCTGCAAAACAGAAGAAAAGTTCATCTATGAAAACTCTGAAGAATTTAGGGTTGGCTTTCTACTCCACATGGCCTATGGCCATGCCAAGGGTCCAATACAGCCAGCGGTTCATGGCAGAGTGCCCCTCTTAAACCCTCCATTGAATTGCCTTTAGATCATTAAATGAGAAAAAGCAGGCAGCAAATTTTTTTTCAAGGAAATTTTGTAGTCTAGAAATGACAGTCACCTAGGCTGAGGGCTCAACCTGGATTAGTTCAATGAATTGTCACTTCCACCATGTGAGAAAGGTGCTGTCGCCTGGTCTACTTCACAGATGGGAAATAAGGTGTCCTGCAAAGGCATCTTATGTTTGTAGGGGGTCCCAGCATTGATCAGTAGGGGAGCCACAGCTCAAATCCTGAATTTGAGCCTTGGTTTGTCCAAAATCTGTTCTAGTGCAAACCATTTTTGTTAAAGAAATAACCATGGAAATGTCTGAAAGAACGCATTCATACACACATATGCACCATACTCACAGCCTCAGAGACTCTTGATTAAGAATCATTAGAGAAATGAAGGTATTTTTAAGAGCTACGAAATAATCTGTAAAACGAGAAGAGTTCAAAGGGAGGAGAAAAAGGAAGGTAAGGAGGAAACAGAGAGAGAGAGAGAGAAACAGGGCAGGGAGGAAGGGATGGGGAGAGGGGAACGGATCGGAGGTGGAGGGGAAAATGGAAAGGGACAGAGTTCTTTCTAGAACTGCCAAGGTATCGACTGTGAGAAAAAGCCTCAAGGATGAAACAATCAAAACACTGACCTGAAAAATGAAATTTTAAACTGCCCAACAAGATCAAAACTTTTCATGGTCCAAATATACTCCCACTCTGAAAGGACTTCCAGTGAGGCAAAGAGAACAATGCAGTGGTGAACGGCACCCTGAATTAAAGCAGGAACCTGACCAGGACCCCGGAGGGGCAAATCCAACAACAAACGTTGCCTTTCCCGGGAACAGGGGCCCACATTTAATGAAAAGGGTATGTGTCTGAAGACGCATGGTGGGATTTTGGCTTCTTTCGCTTGTTCAAAGGAAAAGAGCTATGTCACAGAAAGACAATCCTCACAGAGCTTTCTGTATAAAGTTTGCTCTGTTCTGGAAGCTTCTTCCCAAGGCTTTCTCTCAACCATGCACTCAACCCTTTTTCATATTCCTCTAAGCAACTTTATTAAGCACCAACTGTGAACAGGGCACTCTCCTGGGCAGGTGAAATAAAAAGTGGGAGCAAGAATAGACAACATCACCGTGGCAATGAGACCAATGTAATCACAGTCAGTAATTAAAGCTCATTTTCAGGGAACCTACTGTGGACTACTGGCTATGTAAGAGATGAAGCAGCTGATTTCAATCTTTTGGGGGACAGAGATTAAATATGGGGCTCAGGGAAAGGCACCAAATGTTTATTCTGATGAATCTTGCAGAACAAGTCAGAGGCTGCAAATAGTGACAAATAGTAGTAGATGGTACTATTTATGGAACCCAGAGGAACTCCTAAGCCCTGCCTTTAAGTGGTTCATATTATTAGTATTATTATTATTATTATTTTGAGACAGAGTTTCACTATGTTGCCCTCTAATAGAGTGCCACAGTGTCACAGCTCACAGCAACCTCAAACTCTTGGGCTTAAGCAATTCTCTTTCTTCAGCCTCCCAAGTAGCTGTGACTACAGGTGCCCCCCACAACACCCAGGCTATTTTTTTGTTGCAGTTGTTTAGCTGGTCTGGGCCAGGTTCGAACCCTTCACTCTCGGTGTATGTGGCTAGTGCCATAACAACTGTGCTCTAGGCGCCAAGCCAAGTGGCTCACATTCTTAGTCCCCCAGCAGTCCCATAGTAAAGTAAGGATATCATGAAACAAGGTTCTCAGTGGGAACAAAAATTCTGCTCTGAGCAACTGAAAGACCATTTGCCCCCCCATTTGTGCGTTTGTTAGAGAGCAGCCCAGAGAATGTGGCTGTCATTATGCCTCATTAAAGAGAGAACAGCTTTATCCCTAGCACTTGGCTCTTCTCAGTTCCCCACCTAGTTCCAGACTCAAGGAGGGAGCTAAAATAAACAGTTATTTAAGGGATGGGGCTTGTAGGCTTCCAACACAGATTTTTATTTCTATCCTCGGAAGACTTGCCCCATATAGAAAATATTGTCTGGGAAAGTGCTCAATCTTATCTTAGTAATTAGAACCCAGATCCTACTGTATGTGAAGACAGTTTTTCCACCTTAAAGTTCAGAATAACGCCAGGCGTGGTGGCTCACGGCTGTAATCCTAGCACTCTGGGAGGCCAAGGCGGGAGGGCTGCCTGAGTTCACAGGTTCGGGACCGGCCTCAGCCAGAGCAAGACCTTGTCTTTAAAAATAGCCAGGCGTGGCTCAGCAGCTAGGGTACCAGCCACATAGACTAGAGCTGGCGGGTCTGAATATGGTCCAGGCCTGCCAAACAATGACAATTGCAATAAAAAAAAAGTAAATAACCAGGCACTGTGGTGAGTCCCCATAGTCCCAGCTACTTGGGAGGCTGAGGCAAGAGAATTATTTAAGCCCAGGAGTTTGAGGTTGCTGTGAGTTGTGATGCCACGGCACTCTACCCAGGGAGACAGCTTGAGAAAGAAAAGAAAGAAAAGAAAGAAAAGAAAAGAAAAGAAAAGAAAAGAAAAGAAAAGAAAAGAAAGAAAGAAAGAAAAGAAAGAAAGAGAAAGAAAAGAAAGGAAAGAAAGAAAGAAAGGAAAGAAAGAAAGCAAGAAAAGAATATTATCCTTGTTGTATCAGGGGAATGAAAAAGTAGAAAGTACACACACTGGTTTCCTTCACCCAAATCCTTCAAGATTTCACAGGACACTCAACTCTTTTTTCCACATCCTGTCTTAAAATCAAAACCAGGCTCGGCACCTGTAGCTCAACCGGCTAAGGCACCAGCCACGTACACCTAAGGTGGCAGGTTCGAATCCCCAGCCCGGACCCGCCAAGCAACAATGACGGCTGCAACCAAAAAAT